GGTTCCTCACATATATGACAAAATGTTTGGGGTACCTCTCCAACTCTCAAGTGGTGCAGTAGCAGTAACTAGCTTGCTCGCCTTGTGCCCAAGGATGTCCTAAAATCAAACCTTACATCAAGTATATGGTCGCAATGTCGAGGTGAATCCAAAACTAACTCCCAAAATCTCAGAACGACGTGGCACGTGGCCATGACACGTGTCGAAACCTCTCGAGCCGCGCCTGTCCACCCGCACTTCGGTGGGTTCTCATCGGCGACACACCGCTGGGGCACCCGGCGTCGTGTCCTGTCGTGTCCTGTCATGACACCGGGCGCTGAAAACGAACAGCACGCGTCACCGGCGCCAAGTCTGTGATCCTGAAGATGTTCGGGTTTTCTCAGTTCTGAGTTCTTCGGATCCGTGCAGGTCTTCAGCCACGCCACTCGAACTCCGCAAAAAGATCTCATAGTGTTCCCTGAAAACGAAAAATGAACAATTGTCCAGCTTGCAACTATAGAACTATGAGGGTTCTCCTGGTAATTACTCATGCGGTTCACTCGGGTCCATATATTTTGGAATTGAGAGGCAAAGTAAAGGCCACGTAGAGCAGCCACGTGGGTGAAGAATTCCACATGATCCCTTGACACTTCACAGTCCTTTACATATATACAGATCTGCACGGCAATATTCATAGTCCGTGATCATGACATGTCCCCTGAAGATCCTGAAGACTTCGTTGGAGCACCTCTTTGGTCAGAAAGCCGCTGGCACATGACTTAAATGACGCAGTGATGAATGCACACATTGAACTCTGGCAAGCCAAGCTCACGCAAGTTGCTTGGCAAGGTCACACCTTCCAAGCTCTGGTTGAACCGGCTGCCGAAGGTCAAAGTCTGCAGGCTGCTTGGCAAGGTCACACTTTCCAAGCTCTGGTTGAAAAAATCACCAAAGGTCAAAGTCTGCAGGCTGCCTGGCAAGGTGACACCTTCCATGCTCTGGTTAAAGTCCCTGCCGAAGGTCAAAGTCTGCAGACTGCTTGGCAAAGTGACACCTTCTAAGCTCTGGTCAAAGTCTTGCCCAAAGGTCAAAGTCTGCAGGCTGCTGGGCAGGGTGACACCTTGAAAACTCGAGTTGAACCAATAGCCGAAGGTCAAAGTTTGCAGGCTGCTTGGCAAAGTGACACCCTCCAAGCTTTGGTTAAAGCTTAACCCGAAAGTCAAAGCCTGCAGGCTGCTTGGCAAGGTGACACCTTCCAAACTTTGGTTGAAGTCGAAGCCGAAGGCCAAAGTCTGCAGGCTGCTTGGCAAGGTGACACCTTCCAAGCTCTGGTTAAAATCCTTGCCGAAGGACAAAGTCTGCAAGCTGCTTGGCAAGGTGACACCTTGCAAGCTCCGGTCGAAGCTGCCGCCGAAAGTCAAAGTCTGCAGACTGCTTGGCAAGATGACACCTTTCAAGCTCTGATTGAAGTTGTAGCCGAATGTCAAAGTATGCAGGCTGCTTGGCAAGGTGACACCTTGCAAGCTTTGGTTGAAGCTCGAGCCGAACGTCAAAGTCTGCAGGCTGCTTGGCAAGGTGAGACCATCCAAGCTCTGGTTGAACTCATAGCCGAAGGTCAAGTTCTGCAAGCTGCTTGGCAAGTGGACACCTTCTGAGCTCAGATTGAAGTCCCTGCCCAAGGTCAAGGTCTGAAGGCTGCTTGGCAAGGTGACACGGTTCAAACTCTGGTTGAAGTTGTAGCCGAAGGTCAAAGTCTGCAGGCTGCCTGGCAAGGAGACACCTTCCAAGTTCTGGCTAAATTCCCAGCTGAAGGTCAAAGTTTGCAGGCTGCTGGGCAAGGTGACACCTTCCAAGCTCTGGTTGAAGTCGTAGCCAAAGGTCAAAGTCTGCAGACTCCTTGGCAAAATGACACCTTTCAAGCTCTGATTGAAGTCGCAGCCGAAGGTCAAAGTCTGCAGGCTGCTTGGCAAGGTGACACCTTTCAAGCTCTGATTAAAATTGTCGCCCAAGGTCAAAGTCAGCAGGCTGCTTGGCAAGGTAACACCTTCCAAGCACTGGTTGAACCGGCTGCAAAAGGTCAAAGTCTGCAGGCTGCTTGGCAAGGTAACACCTTCCAAGCT